TGGTCATTATCTCTGAAAACACGTGGCGATTGGGAGAGGTTTGGGATGATTGGAAAGGGCAAATATAGTGCCCATCTTTAAGAAAGGGAGGAAGGAGGATCTGGAGAACAGTCAGCCTAACTGGAGGCCCTGGAAAAATCATGGAGCAGATCCTCAAGAAATCCATTTCTAAGAGGAATCCATTTCTAAGCACCTGGAGGAAAAGAAAGTGATCAGGAATAGTCAGCATGAATTCACCAAGGGCAAGTTATGCCTGACCAACCTGTCTGCCTTCTATGATGAGATGACTAGCTCTGTGGATACAGAAAGACCAGTGGATGTGGTATGCCTTAATTTTAGCAAGGCTTTTGATACAGTCTCCCAGAACAGTCTCACAGGCTAGTGGCGTATGGGCTCAATGAATGGACTGTAAGGAGGATAGAAAACTGGCTGGACTGTCAGGCGTAGAGGCTAGTAATCAATGGCTCTATGTCTAGTTGTCAGACAGTATCAAGTGGAGTGCCCCTGAATCTTTTCAAAATTTTCATCAATGACCTGGAAGATGTGATGGATTGCACCCTCAGCAAGTCTGCAGATGACACCAAGCCAGGGGGAGCAATAGATACACTGGAGGGTAGGGCTAGGATTCAGAGGCACCTCGACAAATTGGAGGATTGGACTAAAAGAAATCTCATGAGGTTTAATAAGGACAAGTGCAAAGTCCTGCACTTAGAATGGAACAATCCCATGCACTGGTACGTGCTGCGAACTGACTGCCTAAACAGCAGCTCTGCAGAAATGGACCTGGGGGTTAGAGAGGACAATAAGATGAATATAAGCCAACAGCATGCCCTTGTTACAAAGAAGGCTAATGGCATACTGGGCTGCATTCGTAGAAGCATTGCCAGCAAATTCAGGGAAGTGATTCTTCCCCTCTATTCAGCACAGATGAGGCCACATGTAGAGTACTGTGACCAGTTTTGGACACCCCCCCACACACACACACTACAGAAAGGATGTGCAAAAGTTGGAGAGTGTCCAGTGGGAGGCAATGAAAATGATTAGGGGGAGCATGACTTATAAAGAGAGGCTGGGGGAATTGGGCTTATTTAGTCAGGAGAAGGGAAGACTGAGGGGAGATTTAATAGCAGCCTTCAATTGCCTGGTTCCAAAGAGCTAGACTGTTCTCAGTGGCTGCATCTACATGAGACATGCTACTGCACAGTAGCATAGTTTACTGCTCAGTAAGCATGTGCTTCTACATGTGCACACGCTTAATGCACAGTAAACCTCACTAAACACATGTAAATTTGCTACCTGCAAATGCAAGTAGCAAATATACTTGTGATTACTAACTGCACAGTAGCACTCATGTAGATGCCTGAATGGGAAGAAATCTGCTCCCAGGCAGGCAGCTACCAGGGAGCAGGAAATAGCTCCCTGCCCTCGGGAGCTTCCATCTGCTGGGCGGGCTCCACTACCAGAGCCCAGGCAGGGACTGTGTCCCCCTGCACCAACAATAGGGAGCACCAAGTCCCCTACTCCAAGATTGCAATGAGGGAGCAGGGTGCTGGGAGATCCTTCTCTCTCACTACCAGCTCCACGGTTGCAAGGCCAGCACTGGGTGATCAAGGTTCAGGGCTTGGAAAGAACTGTAGGGGTGGGGTACGTCCCAGCCCCCTGCCACAACCCACCAGTGGGGCAGCTAGCAGCAAGCTACCTGCTAGGAGAGCCAAAGGCAGATCGGGGCAGGAAGCTGGGACCTGTCCCTCCTCTGCAGCTCTTGCCAATCCCTGTGACACTGATTGGGGAGCCAAGGCCAGCAGCTCCCTGCTGCTGGGGCAGGAGCACATTGTCCCCATCCCAGCAGCAGGCAACCCCCTGGAGCAGGGTGCAATGTCCCAGCTAGCCCTGGGCTAGCACCAATGGGGGGCCTAGAGCTCCCCCTGGTAGTGGCAGGGGCCCATTGCAGGGCCCCAGGAAGTGGGATCAGTTGGCTGCCATTACCAGTAAACCTGTTCCTGTTTCCCTGCACATGTGGATACCTGCCTGGTAGCATAAACTGCTCCCAGGTCTAATGCACGTGCAGACACACCCAGTGGCAGCAGATAACTGAACGAAGATCAATGGTCTCAAGCTGCAGCAAGGGATGTTTAGGTTAGATATTAGGAAAAACTTTATCATGCAGAGGGTACTGAACACTAGAATTGTGGAGTCTCCATCCTTGAAGGCTTTCAAGACCTGGCTAGACAAAGCCTTGACTGGGATGATCTAGTTGGGGACGATTCTTTTGCGGGAAGGTGGTTGGACTAGATGACTTCCTGAGGTCCCTTCCAACCCTAATTTTCTATGATTCATTCTTTCTTAAGGACAGACAAAATTCAGTTGAGACCAGAAGATGCTTTTAGATAGATATTGACTTAGATATTGACTGAATCACAGAGGAAAAAAATCCAAAAGTTGGAAATAGCTAGTACTTTTTGCTACCTCACTTTTTGGGTGCCCAAAGAGACACCTTAAGGAAGTCTGAATTACAAAAATTGCTGAGACTCCACCCTCTGAAAATCATATCTTTTGCAATGTATGATTAAATCAGCCACAAAAAAAGAAAAGAGCATTATAACTGGAAATTGTTGAATATTACTGATTTTCCAGCATCATTTTGATTGTATTACACAAAAAGAAGAAAAAGCGCTCTCAGGTAATATTCCATACAGACAGACAGTAATTCATTTTGACGCGTGACACCGATTTCTAACTATGGTTGCAATATCAATTTTACAGCTGTCAAAATCCAGAATATTTCAAAATTGTGAAAGTATTAAACCTGTGGGTACATTTTTCTCCTGCATTGGTTTCAGGTAAAGCTTGCTGTACCCAAAAACATATGTCCAGCTCAGAACATGAAAAATTGATCAAAACTTTCTAAGAGTCTGGGTACAAGATAAATCTGTACACTTCAAACATGGTTTGAAGTTATAATGGTTATAATTAAACGCTGCAACAGATAATAGATTATTCAGATCTATAAGAAGATTCTTCTGGATTCTCAAAAGATAATATAACTTGACTAAACCCATAGGAGGCTGAAGCCTGGGGCTAATGGGGCTTATCCCCCCTGAACGCAGCTCCAGTCATACCACCGCTATGCCCTGCCACCACAGCGCCACACCCAGCACCCCTGCCGCACATTCCTCCGCCACATACAGCAGTAGCGCACGCTGGCCCCGCTACGGCTATGCAGGAGGGAGTGTTGCTCCACACTACCCACTGCACTTCCCCCAGGCCTCCCAAATAATATTTTCTCCTGACACATAAGTAAACCTAAACAAATCCTTGCAAATTAACTTAAGAATGGAATCCTGCTTGTCTTAAATCCTGATTCATAGATTTTTTGCATCGGAAGGGACCTCAATAGATCATTGAGTCTGACCCCTTGCCCTGGGCAGGAAAGAGTGCTGGGGTCAAATGACCCCAGCCAGGTGTTTTCCAGCCTTCTCTTGAAGACCCCCAAGATAGGGGAGAGCACCACCTCCCTTGCAAGCCAATTCCAGATTCTGGTAACCCTTACTGTGAAGAAGTTCTTCCTGATGTCTAGTCTAAATTTGCTCCGTGTCAGTTTGTGGCTGTTGTTTCAAGTTACTTCAAGGGGCACCCTGGTAAACAGAGTATCTCCTATCTTTGCTGCCCCAACAACAAATTGTAGACAGCCACTGGATCACCTCTCAGCCTTCTCTTACGGAGGCTGAAGAGATCCAGGTCCCTCAATCTCTCCTCGTAGGGCCTTTCCTGCAGGCCCTTAACCATACAAGTGGCCCTCCTCTGGACCCTCTCAAAGTATCCACATCCGTCTTGAAGTGCGGTGCCCAAAATTAGATGCAGTATTCCAGCTGCGGCCTGACCAATGCTGCATAGAGGGAAAGTATCACCTCCTTAGACCTGTTCATGATGCACATGTTAATACATGACAGAGTGCAGTTAGCTCTATTGATCACTTCATCACATTGTCAACTCATGTTCATCTTTGAGTCAACTATGACTCTGAGATCCCTTTCCGCTGCTGTGCTGCTTAGAGGGTCATCTCCCAATCTATAAGTGTGTTGGTGATTCCTTCTCCCTAGGTGCAATACTTTGCACTTATCTTTGTTAAACTGCATCCAATTATATTCTGTCCATTTTTCCACCTGTCCAAATCTGTCCAAATCCATTCCCTGCCTTCCAGTGGGTTTACTTTGCTCCATAATTTGGTGTCATCTGCAAATTTGGATGGTGTGCTCTCCATGCCATTATCCAAGTCACTGATAAAGATATTGAACAGGACTGGTCCAACGACTGAGCCTTGTGGGAATCCACTGCCCACATCTTTCCAGGTCAATACTGACCCATCTACCATCACTCTCTGGGTGAGTCCCATTAGCCAATTCACCACCCACCTCACTGTAAAATCATCTAAGTCACAGTCGCTTAGTTTTTTTATGAGAATGGGATGTGACACCGTACAACCTACTTTTAAACTTAAAGTATGTTGAAGTAGATCAATCCAGGCCCCTCTAACTTGACTATAAATTTATCCAGGCCTCTATCCAACTATAGATCAATCCAGGCCTCTAACTTAACTAAGGAAAAAGAGTGAAGAAAAAAAAATGGTCTTGCTTCGTATTTTAAAATGTTTTAAGATAAGAAAAACTCTTCTGCTTATTATGACTCCATGCACAGTTCTTTTGGAACAAATGTTCTTCCTTTCCTAAAAACAAAAAAGGTGATAACAGTTTTCAAAACAAAACGTGTTGCTGAGCAAGCAACTGTTATGATTTACCCCTGACTTTCTTTTCAAGGATGCTTTGTTTAAACAATTTTAGGTATAAAAAGGTATGTTAACTTGTAAAGGGGGGGAGTTCTGTTAGATCTCCTCCCTATGATCGTATGGTATAGTCACCAATAAACACAGACTGAGTCTGTGAATTCTAATACCAAACACAACGTGAAGTTTGATTTCTTCCACAATTTTGGTGCCGTGACGAGGATAGAGACGCCCAGAGTGATCAGTTGGGACAGAGACATGTCTTCACTGAAGCCCTGGCGCCAAACCAAGGTAAGAGCCTTTTGAAATCTCTATTGGGGCTTTTCAGTGACAGGCTGTCTCTGTGTCTTCCTGATTCACTGCTTGAGGCTTACTCTATCCGACCTTTTGCTGCCAGAATTTTCAGACCCACTCTGTAAGTAGTAACTGTAAGTAGTAGCTGTGAGTAGAAAGAGTTAAGGTTAAAGACTGTGTTGCTGTTGTCACTAAATGTATTTCCCGGTGTGAATTGAGTTAAGTTCTGTAAAGAACTATGAGGTTTTTCTAAGGCCAGGAGTGAAAACCTTGTGCAGCCGCCCCGAGGACACCAGACTTGTTCTGCGTGCTCTTCGAAAGCAAGGGTGCAAGGTGGAAACTCTTAGAGTGTGAGTGTTTTCCACGATAAGCGTTGACCAAGGCTGGGACTAGAGAAATGCTCTTGAACCTCATGCCTCAACGCAGAAATTCCCTTGTGTGAACTGAGAGTATGAATTGAGAAATATGAGCCACTGACCAGGTCTGGGACTAAGGTTGGGTTCAGCCGCCCCAAGGCTGTCCAGAAAGGCAGTTTTGAATGCAAGGGGGCCCAACTGGAACCCTGTGACCCAGTGGACAGGTTTACCCTTTCCTCACCCTCATAAATGAGCTGTGTCTAACCGTAAGTAACTGCATTGTGTGCCATTATTGCAGTGGAGTCTTGTCTTTGGACATTAGCCACAGCATTTCTGTGCCACTAGCAAATCTCACAACCTGACCGGACACCCTCAATAAGTCATTCCTGTGTGAAAGACCTGTGTGAATTGAGTTAAAGAAATGGGGAGCGGAGGATCTAAAGATGTACCGGCTCTGCCAAAAGGGACTCCAGCATTGTACATGTACACACACTGTAACCATAAAAGTTGTAAGTTTTTAGACCAATGGAATAGGTATACCAAAGATGACTCTAGTTTGCAGTTTCCCCTGGAGGGAACATTTGATTTAAGTAAAATCATTCATCTCCGCGGAGCCCTTGAGTCAAAAGGCAGTAAAACGCCACAGACTCAGTGGGATTCAATTTTTGATTGGTATGAGGAAGCTTCCAAACAACGCCAAGAATCTCAAGTTCAGAGACTTAAAGACTCCCAAGACAAACTGAAATCTCAGGTAAAAGAATTAAAACAGAAAAGTGGACCAACGGGGGATCCTCCATCAATAACAACAGCACCATCAGCACCAACACTGCTTTATCCACAGTTGACTGAGAATGAATCTGTAGAAGACATAATAGATTTCATTAGTGTGCCAACCCCATACCAGTCCCAGGCACAATCTAAATCCAAAGAATTCCAGGGTAACCAAATAGACTCTTCCAGTGGGAAAAGCTTACCCCAGGAACCTATCACCCAACCATCATCTCCTCCCACCTGGGCATGCCCACTAGAATCCAGGTGGCTGGTTCCTGAAGCCTCAACCTCCTCTTATTTAAGATCTGGCACCCAGTATGGTCCAGTCCCTTCTTCAAAACCTAAAAAGGCTCTTCAAATGCCCTTGTGTCAACTCCCAGGGCAGGGTCCAAATGGGGAATCTACAGTCATAGTTCATGCCCCCTGGACTCCAGGAGATCTCCAAACCTTGTTAAGCAGTTCCCCAACATCTGGGAAGAACCCCAGAAGTTTAAAGATTAATTGGAAACTGTAATCAATTGTTATGACCTGACCTAGGCAGATTTAAACCAATTAATGAGAAATATTCTGCCTTCTGAAGTTTGCGATTGCCTCGCCAAGCAGGCTAAATGGCCTGCTCAAGATCCCGGAGGAGATGGTCAGTTAGTGAATGCACGAGAACATCTTCTTGAGGCCATACTTAAGATTTGCCCTAGAAAAACTGACTGGGCAAAAATCAATAACTGCAAGCAAAATAAAGGAGAATCTCCAGCGGATTACATGGATTGCTTAAAACTAGTATTCGAAAGACATTCAGGTATTGAGAAGGCAGCTGAAACTGCCCCAGAAGCAGTTGCTGCTGCTTTCGTTCAAGGACTCCTTCCTAAAGTCCAGGAACAACTGTGCACAATTGCTGTAGACTGGCAAACTAAGACGCTGGCAGAACTGGTCACCATTGCTAATCATTGTACAACCTGTCAAGAAAAGAAAAAGGAAATCACAGAAACTAAGTTAATGTCATTACAAATGCAGACTTTTAGAGGCAGAGGGTTCCTTCAGGGACAATTTAGAGGCAGGGGACATGGTCGTGGGATGGGACAAGGAGGGTTTCAGTCCCAAATTAGTGATAGTTGTCACTATTGTGGTCAACCAGGACACTGTAAGGCCCACTGTCCTCATCGGTCTGGCCAGCCAGAGATGACAGTTAACCTGCCACCACCTGCTCCCACTCAATTCTCTGTCCTGAATCAAAGAACCTCCTGTTAGGACAGCCTGAGGAATAGTAATGTCATCACAGCCCCACTTCTCTCACTTTATCAAGAAGACCCCTTTGTTTCCTGCGTGATAAA